TATTGGATAATGCAAACTCCCAGTCATATTGTATCAACAACAAATATCGGTATAACAGTAACTTGTCCTTCCACAGATTTCCATCAACATAAGTGGAAAACTTTGTAAGCTGGTTTCGTGAGTGCCATTCAATGGCATTAATGTCACTAAGAAAGGAGCTCCCCAAACCCTTCCTTTTACATCTTTTACAACTATATATGCACCTAAAATGTTCAATTTTAGAGTTCTAACCTGGCCTAAGGATTGCTGTAAAGACACAGAGGCTCTCAGGTGACAGGATAATGACAGCAAAAACAGGTGCAAAGGGGCGTCCTCTATAGAAGAGCACAGATGAATTCTGAGGTCTGGCTACACCTCTATACTTGCAAAGCGTGTGGGCTCCATTTGTTTGTTTGTAAAACAGTGACAGCAGTGTATACATCGCTGTGCATGCTGTGTGAGACAACAATGCCAGTAAAGCCAATAGCACACTGCTGGCTCACAGGAGCTGGTGCTGTGGCTGCAGTTGGTGGTGTAATTTTATCTAATGATCTGACAGACAGCATGCTGTGTGGTGTATATATTCATTCACTAATGTTTGTCTTAAATGACACTGCACTCAGATCCAGAGCCATGATAAAAACCCCCTGCCATTACAGACTCTTGACGCCTTTTAATACACCTGGTGAAAGAACTGTAATAGTTTACTTGATAACCAGATTATTGGTCATTCATTATATAAACAGAAAAATACTGGCATTCCAGTGCAAGGCTTTTAAAGCTAAGAGTATTAGGAAAAGCCATAGGGAAGGCTTGAGGTAAGAGAAATTGGTCTTACCGGATTTCCTCCCTTTTTCCAGTCATCTCTTCCATTTTGGCATACCTCCTCTGACATATTCATGTTGTTGAAACTCTTCTACATAGAAAAAAGACACATGGTACAAATCATAACACTGAACTGCCAGTAATAAATTACACCAATAAGAGAATTTTTACTTTAAAAGGTGATTATAAACTTATGTTCATATAAAAACCTGTACATGAATGTTTATAGTAGCTTTATTCATAATTCCCTAAAACTTTGAAGCAATGAAGGTGTCCTTCAGTAGGTGAATGGATAAACAAACTATGGTACATCCATATAATGGAACAGTAATCAATAATGAAAAGAAATGAGTTACCCAGCCACAGAAAGACATGGAGGAACCTTAAGGGCATATTGCTAAATGAAAGAAGCCAATCTGAAAAGGTTACATACTGTTGATTCCAACTATATGACATTCTGGAAAAGGTAACACTAGAGACAGTAGAAAGATCAGTGGTCATCAGGTGTCCAGAGGGAGGGAGGGAGGGAGAGGCAGAGCAAGGGGGTATTTTATGGCAATGACACGACTCTGTATGATACAGTAGTGATGGACACATATCTGTCAAACCCATAGGATGTTCAACAGAAAACATGAGCCCTAACATAAACTATGGACTTTAATTACATTTAATAATAGTGTATTGATATGGTTCATCAATTGTAAGAAATGTACCACACTAATAGAAGATGTCAAAACAAGAGAAACTGTGTGCAGGGGAAAAAGGATATATGAAATCTCTCTGTACTTTCCAATCAATTTTTCTAGAAACCTAAAACTGCTCTAAAATATATAAAGTCTAGGAAATCCTAGCAACAGCAATCAGACAAGGAAAAGAAAGAAAAGGAATCCAAATTGAAAAGTAGGAAGTAAAGCTGTCAGTATCTGCAGATGAGTCTGTTAATTTTTAAGAGGTGATTATGAAGAAATCATTTTTGATATCAAGGAATAAATTCCTAAAAATGCAGCTTGGGCCACGGGGGATAAGAGTCATACTATGGCCACCAGCACCTTCCACCAGTATTCCTGGTCCACATGTGAACCCCCTGCAACAGAAGCCAAACTGAAGCCGATTCCTTCTTTCAGTTCTGCAAGCATGGCCAGTGACTTTAGGAAAAGGCGGAAGAGCGAGCCTGCGGTGGGGCAGCCGAGGGGCTTGGGGGATCCAAGTGCAAGCAGGACCAGCCCAGGTCGAGCGGACCTCCCAGGATCAAGCACCACCCTGACCAAGTCCTTCATCAGTTCTTCTCCTTCTTCCCCGTCAAGAGCAAAAGGTGAGCAACACTAAATGACATGTAGACAATTCTCTGGTTTAAGTTTTAACATAGATTACCCCGGAAGAGCTGATCCCATGATCACTACCCAGAGATAGTTAGCATTTAAATTCAGTGTCTTAAATAAAATACAGTTTCACAATAGCATTCTTTACACATAGACCAAATCAGGCTGGTGAACCATTTGAGTGGCTTAAAGGACTCTCATTATCATATATTGATGCTTCCTTTTCTCCAAATATATCATTTGTGTTTTTTGGAACAAATTTAAAGTGTCAAATAATGTACTGTCAGACTATTAAAAGATTACATTTATAAATACTTGCATATTGTCCAATGCTAATGTTACTACAACTAGCAAAATTAATCAGATTTATAGAAAAGAAATTAGAAGTAGCAACAGAGAGCACTGTTGCCTAAGACATAAACTGGTTTGGGGTATTTTTTAATTATTCATTTCTAGATAAAAATTTGTCTAACCTTTGAGAATTGGTTTCTTTAATTATTTGCGTTATATTTTGGTCAGTATTCATATATAGAATAGAATATCCATGTTCAGCATGTAACATAGTGTTCAATTCACAACAGTCCACTACTAAGAACTAACCGGTTTCAGGCCATAATTGTAAAATTTAGATACCATCAGGCCATTTTCCTGTGTGGCCTGTCTCCTCTCTGGAAATTTCAGTCAGTTGTGTTGAAAGGGAGCGATCACTCCTTCAAGTCTCTGAAATACTATTTAATGCATTACTGCAGCTATAACAGAAATATTCCTAAGACAGAGACCTGGGATTGAACCAGCATCCATAAGTACCTGGGATTTGAGGGCCCAAGGTCTCCTCCAGTCCTCTGGAGTTGAAACAGGAGAGAAGAAATCTGAAATGTGTGAAGAAAGTGAGCTGTAACTGACATCTCCCTAAGGCAGCAAAGATTGAGCTACACGTATCAAATGTAGGCACCGAAAGTGTTACCACATAAAACCAAAGCTAAGATCTGGTTTGTGTGCAAAAGCTAGGCTGGGTTTGATGGCTGGGCTGGGGATGGCACTGGCTTTTGTCCCCTCCTAGTAAAGCTGTGAATACTTCCTGGAAGGTTCAAGGGGAGCGATGCTCCTTCATTATACCATTCCTCAAATTAACAGAGGTACCCTTATCAGAGTCTACTCATTTATGCAAACAAATATCCTAAGGAAACCAACAGGTCATGAAATGCCATTGATGCATTATGCCCAGATACCACCCCAATGTTAAAAGGATTCTGATTAACTTAGATATTCGTTTTTATCCTAGGGATTGTTAAGTCAACCTCCTTTTCCAGACACTACATAGCTACTCGATGTGCTTACCCACTTCTGAAGAACTTGGGGAAGGCAGGAGCTATTAGTAGAGAGATTTTCCTCCACTATGCTTATTTCTAAGAGGAAAATGTCCCATTAGATGTAATCTGGCCTCTTGTTTATTAATCAGCTCAGCAACACAAAAGAAAAGACTGTTTCCATAGATACTTGGAATGGAGGTCAAGGTTAGCTCTACATTATGAAACTGCACATGAGTTTTTTAAAAAGATCCTTCCTGGAAAAAAGCGAATGCATTTGCCTCTGAGGAAAGGTTTGCATTATATCCAGGTATCCTTATGAGAATCTGCCTAATAAGAGGTTGAAGGCAGAGAAATTGAAGAGAGAAATTATTTGTTTAAGGAGGTGCTAGTTTGGGGGTTTTTTTTCCCTTGAAAAAACATTAGCAGCAATAGTTCATAGCAATTGAACTTGATTTTACAATTCTGGAAAATATTTTGTCTTGTTTTTTCTATCTAAAGCCCATGAAAAATTATTTGATATGGTTATGGGAATATTAATTAAATGTAAATTTATAACTTACTCTTTAATTCTCTATTATATATAAATCAAGTAAGACTCAAATCCTGACCCTACTGAGCTGATTAAAACTCTTAACATTTTTGGTATTAATTACAAAGCCTTTAAATTACTACAGGTCATGCTATTAGCTTACAAGGTACTGTTGTGTTTTTGACATACCAAATTTGCAGAAAGATGGATGAATTATGCAACAGAAATAGGGGTGTTAGCTACACCAATTACTTTTTAAACATGGTTCCTTTAACTCTAATACCTGCAAAGCTACGTTTATTGAAAAAGTATTACCTTGCTTTAGAATCAGATTTTTTCCTCTAAAGTTGAAGCTACATGTACAACAGTCAGTGTCTGGATTGACCCCCACTAACTGCTTTCTCTTTGCTGTGCTATCTGATGCTAACTGACACGCTCTCCTCTTTCTGAGCCTTTTAACTTCTCCTAACGTCTCTCTTCCACCACGCTGCCCTGGATTAAAAGGTGGGGACGATAGCAAAATGTGTCCACCCCTTTGCAGTTACTCAGGGCTCAACGGCAACCCCTCGCACGAGTTAGATTACTGTGACACTTACAGACAGCATCTGGACGTCCCCCATGACTCACAGAGGGCCATTACTTTCAAAAACGGCTGGCAAATGGCCCGGCAAAACGCAGAGGTCTGGAGCAGCACTGAAGAAACGGTTTCCCCCAAGATCAAATCCCGCAGTTGTGATGACCTCCTAAATGACGACTGCGACAGCTTCCCTGACCCGAAAACCAAGTCGGAAAGTATGGGCTCTCTGTTATGCGAAGAGGACTCCAAGGAGAGCTGCCCCATGACCTGGGCTTCCCCCTACATCCAGGAGGGCCGCGGTAACAGCAGATCAAGGCTTCGACACAGGTCCGCCCACGACGCCCCAGGGTTCCTAAAAATGTACAAGAAGATGCACCGCATCAACCGCAAGGATCTGATGAACTCGGAGGTGATCTGCTCTGTGAAGTCGAGGATAATGCAGTACGAAAAGGAACAGCAACACAGGGGTCTGCTCCATGGGTGGAGCCAGTCCTCCACCGAGGAGGTGCCCAGGGACATGGTGCCCACCCGCATTTCTGAATTTGAAAAGTTGATTCAGAAGTCAAAATCCATGCCGAATTTAGGAGATGAAATGTTATCTCCTATAACCCTAGAAACACAACAAAACGGTTTGTGTCCCCAAAGGCGATTTTCCATCGAGTCTTTGCTGGAGGAAGAAAATCAAAGCAGACACCCTTCTCAGGTCCAAAGAAGCTACACATCCACAGCCCTGGTGCCAATCCACATTGAGGTCACCAGTGATGAGCAGCCCAGAGCTCACGTGGAGTTTTCCGACAGCGACCAAGATGGAGTTGTGTCTGATCACAGCGATTACATTCATGTAGAAGGATCGTCCTTCTGCAGTGAGAGTGATTTTGATCACTTTTCCTTCACGTCCTCTGAAAGTTTTTATGGATCCAGCCACCATCACCACCACCATCACCACCATCATCACCGGCACCTCATCAGCTCCTGCAAAGGCAGGTGCCCTGCCTCCTACACTCGATTTACCACGATGCTGAAACACGAAAGAGCTAAACATGAAAACATTGAGGAGCCCAGAAGACAAGAAATGGACCCTGGCCTTTCTAAGCTGGCATTTCTGGTCAGTCCCGTGCCTTTCCGGAGGAAAAAGAATTCGACTCCCAAAAAACAGACCGAAAAGTCAAAGTGTAAAACATCCGTATTTGAGGCTCTGGACTCCGCCCTTAAAGACATCTGTGACCAAATTAAGGCTGAAAAGAGAAGGGGAAGTTTGCCAGACAACAGTATATTGCACCGTCTTATCAGCGAACTGCTGCCGGATATTCCCGAAAGGAATTCCTCACTCAAAGCTCTAAAAAGGAGCCCCGTGCACCAGCCTTTCCACCCACTGCCTCAAGATGGTGCTATTCATTGTCCATTGTACCAGAACGACTGTGGGAGCATGCCTCACAGCGCCTCCTTCCAGGATGACACCAACAACAACTACCACCCCCAAGACCATGAGAGTGTGCTGAGCCTCCAAGGTGGATGAGCTTTTCTTTCTTTTCCCTCGTGGTTCAGATACCCACCCTCCAGCTCTCTCATTTTCCATTCCTCCATCTCATCATTCTTAAGCTGTGAGACCACTTGACATCATTACGTGTTGTGAAGCAAATGCGTATTGTGCAAACATGTCTTACTGAGTAGATCTCATTTGCTCGTGGGAAACTTGGACCTGATGTGGCTTAAAGTGCTCCTCAATTCACAAAAATTTACTCATTCGAAATCGAAAGGGAAAACCATTTTGTAGCTTGACATTAGGGTTGAAACAACTATTACATGAAACAACAAACTAAACTTCTTTCACCAGTTTAAAAGGATTTCAAGGCAGAAATTATAACTGAGTATCAGTATCCTTAAGAGACTGACAACTTTGCATTAACTTTTTTTGTTGTAAAATGAATCAAAACCAGTAGTTTAACAAATAGTCTTTTCCTGATTCTTATATTAACTTTATAGTCATCCACTCAATAAATAATTTGCTGGCATTCTGTATAGAAGACATTATATCAGAACACTTAATAAGCAAAACTGAAATATGTAATATAGCAATTGATGGATGATTAAAAGAGAATAGGACTTGATTAATAACTTCCTCCATTTAAAAGACACAATTTGGATAAAATTTTTGTGAATATATCTTTAAGCTGTGTTTATAAAAGTCTCATTTCTGTCATTCAGTGTATACATGTTCTCTTCCTTTTCATTATTTAATTAACATATTTTCTATTTCTGCTAAAACAATCCTATACTGACATTTGAATTAGACTATTTAGGCTAAAAAGTGATTCTCAACTTCATTTTCATAGATGGATTAACCCTTGAAGTAGAACACAAGGACAAATAGCAATTTAAATTCAGAGAACATTTTTTTTTGAGGTTTACATAATTAAAGAACAGAGGATGTTTTGATATTTTATCCAGTCATTTTCATTAATGCTTAAAGTGCATCTGTTTACTATGTAAATTTCCAGAAGCTAGAATGAATATTCCAGGCTGAAACTTGGCTTGCCAGCAGTCTTCTAGGCACCAGACATTGCAAAGTGCTTTACATACATTCTCTACTTCACTCGGACCTAAACCTACGTGATAGGTTTTACTGTAAGCACTGTTTTACAGTGGAGGAAACTGAGACCCAAAGAGGACAAGAAATCTGACCGAGGTCACACAGAGAGTAGGCAGCGGAAACAAGATTCAAACTCTTGTAATTCACAATTTACAGTAAAGAATATAATCTCTATAGGCAAAAAAGAAACATAATTCAGGTTTCATATTAATACAATATATATGGCCCCAGTTTTTAGTTACCAGTCACAGACTTCTTTATCTAATTCGTACTTCCCTTTGCTTTCATTGATACTACACAACATGTTTCAAAAACAGTAAATGCAAATTTTTAAATCAATGTCAACAATTTGAAATTTTCACTGATTGAGACATGTCACAATCTAATTTTTAAATAAATTAGCTACCTTTTCCAGTTATTCAATATCCTAATATAATCGTATCTAAACTTTCTGTACCGATAGAGTACAATATTGAAACAGGATCTGAGAGTGTTTTGAAATGCATTTAAAGAGTATTTTGTTTTTTAATAAAATATTTAATTTTGAATTTTCTTTAGCCCAATCCAAAAATAGTTTAAATTCGAAGGATTACTAAAAATAATTTGAAATTTATGATCACTATGAAAGCCCTCACAATCATAAATGTATATTAATTAAAAATGGAAAATATACTGCATATAATCCTCTTGCATTTGTGAAAATAACTGGTTAAATTTTACTTGAAATATCTGTGGCCGTGCTACCTCCCTAAACCTAAAGACTGTGGAATTCACCACTGACAGGGAGGCAGCCATTTATCCTTATATGTCTTGTAACTGACATCCCAGCAGCTAAGAGCAGACAATTCTTCCTTATAGTCGAAGTAGTCAAAACCTTTAAGCAATGTTTTCTTTTAATGGATCAGCATTTGTCATTCTTTTATAGATGGGTTTATTTTATTTTTAATGCTTTTTAAATTTAATGTAACTAAGTTTATTGAAGGAATAAGAGAAAAAACTTACAAATTTTGATCGAGTTATATTGGTAACATTCTGTAACATAGACTACTCGAATACTTTTAGCCTTTAGTTAACACTTCCACATATAAATGCAAAAGATACAAGATATTATTAAGAGATACTCTGCAATCATGATTTTGTAATGTAATTAATTATTTATACTTTGTTTTATGGTGAACGAAAACAATGCAGTAGTTAGGTCATAAGCAATTTGACAACTAATATGACACCTTCTGTTGAGAGACTCTTTATCCCCTTGTCTCTCGGAATAAATATTTGCTTTCTGATAAGACAGCTGAGCACAGAGGAAAGCAATAGATAATGGCCTTTTAAGCCTTAAGCCTTAAGATGACACCTTCAGACTCAATAAGTAGTTAAAAACAGGAAAGGAGGGACATGACCATAGTTCTGTCATCATCATACTTTCTTTTTCTCTCTTTTTCATTACTACATTCTTAAATTGTGCCACAAAATGTTTCCGTTTCCATAAATTGTTGTTATGTTCTCCATCTTGTATAGGCCCTATTACAGCCATTATAAACTGGTGGCAAAAAGTATAGAAAGTATGGAATCCTTGAGATGAAAAATCTAACTATGAACTGTCTATAGTGGGTACTCGGTATAATTATGTCAGCAGTGTAACAATTCTATTTCTATTTACGAGCAAACACTTCTGCAACCGTGGGTATTTATTCTCTTGAAATGCTCTGTTTTTGTGTCTGATATCACAACTTTATAGTTACCTATGGGTTTTAGACCCATGTTTTCCAGTGAGATGTCTCTTCAGTTTGAAGGGGAAAAGAGTTGCCACCAAGGAACATGGCTAAACAAGTCTGCTTTTGATTAAGTGGATACTCACTCTGACCCTGTCCTTTCCAATAGACCATGAGTCCCCTAGAAGTTACTCATCCACCCTGACTGACCTGGGGAGAGGCGCCCCAAGGGAAAGAAGAGGAACTCCAGAAAAAGAGGTAGTCCGTTTAATAGCATTTGAGTCTCTTTCAACAATACGCTTGATAAAGCACTTGCCAGTCAAAGTTACATCCAAAGCCAGATTAAAAACACCAAATGACAATGGAGAGACTACAAACACTTTCCCCTGGAGCCTGAGCAAAGGACTTGCAGCCGTTTGCACTTGGAGCCTAGTTGTAGGTGCACTAGTTGTAGGTGTCCCCTAGTTGTGGTCCAGTTTTGACGGTGAGGTCTCTGTGAGTGTTGACCTGACACCCAGGGATTAACAGCTGGGTCTAAAAGAGTCCTGAGCTGGGCCATCCCTTGGGGGAAGAAGGTGTCCCCTGTACAAACTTCTGGCCCAGTGATGTAGGGGAAAGCCCTTGGTCAGCAATGTTACAAGTCAATACAAATCCTACAGAAATAATTTTTGCTCACCTGCTTTTGTTGGAGAGAATCCTGGGAGGGGAAAAAAAACCACCGTTGCCCCTGAGAACCACCTACCAGCTAGCTCTTTGTCCACTGTCCCGAGCCAGGGCTGGAGGTCTGGTTCTTACTGTCTTGGACCCACAAAGGTGTGATAGAAACTGAAGGCT